CCCCAGAACTGCCACTGATCACCCCCCAGCACTGCCACTGATCACCCCCCGCAGCACTACCACTCACCCCAACCCCCTCAGCAGTGCCATTCATCCCTTCCCCCCAGCACTAGCACTGATCCCATGTCCCCTCACCACTGCCACTGATCCCATCAATTCCCCCCCCCTCCCCCCCCCCCCAGCACTGGCAGTGATCCAACACCCCTTCACCAGAAACTGCCATTGATCCCATTTCCATCCCTTTAGCACTGCCACTGTCCCCACCCTCAAGCACTGCCACTGTTCCCATCTCTTACACAGCACTGCTACCAGGGGTGTAACTATTGGGGTTGCAGTTGCAACCCTGACCCCATGCTCCAGGGGCCCATGTGGCTCCCCTGTACACCTTGATAGGAAGGGCGGCATATAGAGAAACCAATCCCTTCATTTTCCTCCTGCATCTGCTTATTACCCATCACTTCATTCTGTACACTGCACTGTACATTCCCTATTACCCATCACCTCATGCTGTACTCAGCTGAACATTCCCTATTCCACAGTGTCTCATTCTGTATTCTTTGGTATACATTTGTCATACATAACAATCCCTCTTGTATGGTGTGCTGTATGTTTCCTATCCCACCTTCCTGTTCTGTGCTCTAAGCTGTACATTCCCCATTTCACACAGGCTCATTCAGTACACTTTACTGTACATTCCCTATTCATTTTTTTTGCCAGCATGACCTATTTTGCAAATTTCACTCATGTGCCATTCCATGATTTGGATGTTTGTAGCAACATTTTTGCCCACATCTTTAACAAAGATGTGCAACCAAGAGGTGTGCATGGGAAGTGTTTCACAACAAACAAGCTGGTGGACATTAGTGAAATTCTGCTGATTTGTCATTTGTCAAGTTTATGCATAAGGTGACCATATCCGATTTGGGGCACATTTTAATTAGGTAACCTTTTTTATTTATTCAAAACATTTATTTTTAGGACAAGTTTTTTAAGCATGAGGACGGGGAGCCCAGATACATTTTGGCAAGGCGTTACGGTTCCGAAGTGCCATCTTGTGTATGCCTTGCACAGTATGTACAGTACTATTTTTAATACATTTTGATATATTATAAGAAGTGTGTGCACACATACATTTCATTGGCCATTGGTTAAAAACGGAATCTTGCAACATTCAAGATGCTTTAAAAAAACTTAAATATTAACTTTAAATTGATTAATCATTTAAAAGTCCTTCCCAATTGCAAACAGGCACAAGATGTCTGCTATTACCTTTATTAGCATGAAAATCAATCTCAATTAATTTTTTCTGCTTAAAAACATCCTTTTTTGCATCTTTTGTATTTGGTTTAACTTTTTACTAAGGGTTTGAACTGCCAAATTCCTTGGCTAAGTCCCACCTTTATGCTGGTACCCTGATCATCCTCAATTGCCATGGCCAGGTGCTTTTATTGGACAGGGTAAAGAAAAGGTCCTTCAAAGAAAGCTTTTGTTTCCAGCTCTTGAATTTTAAATGATGGGTTTGTTGTTTGAGCAAAAAAAAAAAAAACACACATATATGGCACATCTCTGCATTACACATTGAGCTCCTAACTTTCTATTGTTGGCTGACACAGCTGCTTCTGCTGCACTAAAATCCCAAGCAGTGTTGTCAGCCTTGCCTGTGACAACGCAACCCCCCCCCTTCTTTATGTAAATGTATACAGCTGTGTTCAAAATAATAGCAGTCAGACATCACTAACCTGATCAATCACTGTTTTTGGTAGAAATTATATTTCTACATGGCAAATAATTTACTAACAGGTGTAGTAGAGTAATAGAAATCCAACAGACCCAACAGTCATGACATGCATGCTGCTGATTCTGTGTAATTGAATCACTAATTGAAAGGGGCATGTTCAAAATAATAGCAGTGTGGAGTTCTTATTAGTGAGGTCATTCATTCTTTGAAAAACAGGTGGCAATTATTGCCCTTATTTAAGGAAGGAAGGCAGCAAATGTTGTACATGCTGGTTACAGTGCATTTCTCTCTGAAATTCTGAGGAAAATGGGTCGTTCCAGACATTGTTCAGAAGAACAGCGTACATTGATTAAAAAGTTGATTGGAGAGGGGAAAACATATAAAGAAGTGCAGTAAATGATAAACTGCTCAGCTAAAATGATCGCAAATGCTTTAAAATGGCAACCAAAACCTGAAAGACGTGGAAGAAAGTGAAAAACTACCATTCGAATGGATAGAAGAATAGCCAAAATGGCAAGGACTCAACCAACAATCAGCTCCAGGAAGATCAAAGAAGGTCTAAGGTTCCCTGTGAGTACTGTTACAATTAGAAGACACCTATGTGAAGCCAAGCTATCTGCAAGAAGCCGCTGCAAAGTCCCACTGTTGAAAAAAAGACGCGTTGAAGAGGTTACAATTTGCCAAAGAGCACATTGACTGGCCTAAAGAGAAATGGCGCAACATTTTGTGGACAGATGAAAGTAAGATTGTTCTTTTTGGGTCTAGTGGCCGGAGACAGTTTGCAAGACGACCCCAAACACTGAATTCAAGCCACAGTACACTGTGATTGAAGACAGTGAAGCATGGTTGCGCAAGCATCATGATATGGGGATGTTTTCTCATACTACGGTGTTGGGCCTATTTATCGCATACCAGGGATCATGGATCACTTTGAATACATCAGAATACTTGAAGAGGTCATGCTGCCTTATGCTGAAGAGGAAATGCCCTTGAAATGGGTGTTCCAACAAGAAAATGACCCCAAAACACACCAGTAAACGTGCAACATCTTGGTTCCAGACCAACAAGATTGAAGTTATGGAGTGGCCAGCCCAATCCCCGGATCTTTTTTTTTTTTTTTATTTAAATATTTATTAGTATTTTTCACATAAGTAACAATAAACAACTTCATCTCACTCATCATAAAAATATACGATTTTTTCTTATTGTTTCAATTACCTCCTCTTAAAACCTTGACTCCCTCCCCTTTTCTCTTTTTCTTGGAAGAACACAAGAAAATAGAGAAAGGAAAAATAATATAAGAGTAAGAGGGAGTTCCAGAACTAACACAGGGGGAAAGATCTAAAAGAGCTATCTGGTAAAATCTTGAACTCCATAATGGATAAATCGGATGAGGAGATGTTTAAACTGGATGAAGTATATAGGATTGGGAAGTATCAACAAGGAAAAGAAATAGAAAGACCAAGGGATATAATCGTTAAATTCCATAACTATGGAGACAGAGAAGAGATATGGAAAAAGATAAAAGGAAGAACAAATATTACATATGGAGGGAAAAATATCCAAATTTATGCAGATTTGACAGCAGAGACCCTGAGAAGGAAGAGATCATTGAAACCCCTACTGGAAGAGATGAAAAAAAACGAAGTGTGAAATATAGATGGGGACGTGACTTAAGTTTAATTGGGTGGAGGGATGGAACTACAGCTATCTTAAGATTCCCGGAGGATATGGAAGAATTTTGTAATAAATTTGGACTGCAGAGACAAGTGATACCTGGCTGGGAAGTGGAAGGAGGGAGAGAGCAGGACATTTGTGGATTAGGAGAGTGGAGTGGGTTAAAAAGGGAAATAGAGAATTAATAGATAAGGGGACATTGGGGAGGAGGGGGGGGGAGGTAAGCGGCCATGGGCAGAGCTGAACCCATTTAGAGGGATCAAAAGTGGAATATGATCCAAAGGCATAAAAGGCCTGGGGGGGGGGGGTGGGGAGGGGGAAGGGAGGGGGGGAGGAGTTGGCAGGGGGGGAGGGCTGGGGGGGGGGGGGGGTTGGGGAGAGGTGAGGGGGGCAGGAAAATGGATGATAAGGGTAATACTCTGCAGGATAGAGAGAGGTATTAAAAGCAAGTGTAAAGAGAAGGAGGATAGTTGTGAGATCTCTAGTTAAAAGGGAAAAAAGAAGGGTATAAAAAGGATGGAAGATTTACAAATCCCCGGATCTTAATCCAATAGAAAACTTGTGGGGTAACATCAAAAATGCAGTTTGAGGCAAAATCAAGAAATAAAGAAGAACTGTGGAATGTAGTCCAATCATCCTGGGCTGGAATACCTGTTCACAGGTGCCAGAAGTTGGTTGACTCCATGCAACACAGATGTACAGCAGTTCTCAGAAACAGTGCTTATACAACTAAATATTAATTAAGTGATTCAAAGGAAAGCAAAATCTTCAAACATTTTTCAGTTTATATAGTGAATGTTTGAGTTTGTAAAGAAGAATACAAACACTGCTATTTTTTTGAACAGTCTAATATTCACTTTTCTTCAATTTTTTTTAGAGGAACAACACAAATTTGATATATCTTTCTTCATGTTTTGATTTGGAATAGAATGTGTAGTGTTCCCAATGCATTTGTGTGTATGGAAATAAAAGCTATTAGAAGGATTTTGAGCTGTATTCACTTTTTTCAACACACTGCTATTTATTTTGAACACAACTGTATGTAATCCATTGAAATGTGATTACTGGCAATGGATTAAAATGGACATGTGGCCTGCCATTCAGGGTCACTCACATGGACAGAACAGCCCTCTGGAACTTGTATGCTGTACAACAGGACTCAGCAGGGCAGTCAGGAACTATATATCCTGAGGGGTAGTGTGTGGGCAGGGGGTTATAAATATCAAAGCCCAGGAGATTGGCCAGGAGAGTATGGGGAGAGACTGAAGGAGAAGGAGGTGTGCTGATGGCTGAAGTGCTGAACTAGGCTGCGGAGCCAGGGCTGGAGAGACAGAGCGGAAAGAGCCTACTGACCACCTGGTCTGCCACGCTGCCCCGCAGGCCAATTTGACAGCAGAAGACCAGACGGGACACCGAGCCAGAGCCAGAAGAGTCTGTGGACTGACCCTGTCTGCAGGGAGAGACAGACCACTACGATCTGCTGGACGACTTTGATCTGGTGAAAGACACCCATGCAACCACTAACCAAGTGAATATTGACAGTTGCCACCTCAGCTATCTACCTACACATAGTTGTGAACATTACATATAGTTGCCCAGTTTACAGCCTAGTTTTCCCAGCCACCAACATTGGAATACATCTGCATTACAGTCGGGGGGGGACTGACAACTCATGGGGCCCCCGGGCAATAGGGGATCATGGGGCCCCTGTGTCCTCACCCACACCCAAAAAAGCCTATGAAAAAGCCAATGAAAAGTACCAGGGGCATCTCATGGAGCCCCCTACTAACTCCAGGCCCTCGGGCAGTACCCGAATGGTCAGTCCGCCCCTGATTACAGTTTATCATGCAAGCTGACAGCAGGACATACAGTTGCAGGCCAGGATACAGAAATGCCAACTGAAACAACAAGTTTCCTTTTTCAATGCAGCAGGACTCCGACTACTGTTCATTTTGACTTTGATATTCAGAGGGAGTTGTCTTTATACATAGACACTTATGCCAATTGTTGCTATTCCTCACTTCAAGCTTGCTCTATGTTTAGTGCCTTAAAGGGGAACCCGCACTTATTCGCTACCACCAAGAGGAAAAGTATTAAATCGCTCTGTTTTTTCCCTCACAATTTTCATGCTGCCATCTTGAGGAACAATATTCCACACCTCAACTCAACTTCATATCAACTGGGTTCCACAAGTGCACAGAAGACACTGTAGTTCTCTTAGGGGACATTGCTTAATTTCATATGAGAATTTTCTTTACTTCACATTTAATCCTTGCCATCTACTGAGGGCCCGCAGTGAGCTTACCTGTTTCTTGATAGTTGTTCCTGCTCACTGGGGATTAAGCAGTCCCCTCAAATTGGAGGCAGTGGATTATTTCCGGAAGCAGGTCTGCTGACAGGTATTGTTGCTTTACTGTGAATGTCATTACTTTTGCTCATAAGTGCCAAGGGTGATAATATTTGCTGCATATACAGTATCAGTGTTAGTTTGTTCTTTTTGACCAAGTTACCTCTAATTCCAATATAAACTTCATATTGGTTTATACTAACTGTGTGAGTTCATTTTACAGTTTTTATATTCATCTTGGCCACAAGGGCTGAACGGTGGTGTCAGCAGAGGTTGGGCTTTCAACAAGAGGTCCATATTGACAGGGTCCTATATTGACAGGGAATCCAAAAATTACTAAGCAACCCTTAAGGGGGTAGTGCTACACATACAGAGAATTATCTGACAAGCCAGTGCTACTGCCTTGACTTTCAAGAACCTTTTCACATACTATGGGGTTGATTTACTAAAGGCAAATAGGCTGTTCAATTTGCAAGGGAGTTCAGTGAGTGAAGTGAAGCTCTACTGTCTTCCATTATCCAATCATGTGCAACCATTCTTATTTTCTTTGCACACAATTAGGTATTCTTTGCAAAATTTTACTAAATTGACTAAGTTCTGGGGAAAATTCCCTTGCATAGTGAACAGCCTATTTGCTTTCAATAAATCGACCTTTGTGTGCAGGGAAAAGGTTCTTGGGAGATGTAGTTCTGATGGTATAGCTACATCAGTAAGGACTGATCAAGGTTATGGTACTGATCCCCTCCTCAGTAAGAATTTCACATGCCTGGTAATGACATCATAGGCAGTATTAAAAGCTGTTTCTCGATACAGTAGTAGTAAAGGAAAAAAAAATGCTGGGGCATGCTCTATAGGGTTACAGAAAAGTTAGAAAAAAAGTTGTTAGAAGCATTTTAGTAGCCTTTAGGAGCGTTTAGCGTTTTTTTTCTGCTCCTAGAGGTTGAAGCTCAAAAAATACTAATAGCCTAAAGCGGCGTGCATGGACACATAAGCAACACTAAGCAACTTATTCACTCCCTTTGTTATATCTCACCTTGACTATTGTAACTACCTCCTCATTGGCCTACCTAATCGCAGGCTATCCCCTCTTCAGTCTATCATGAATGCTGCTGCCAGACTCATCCACCTTACTAACCGTTCTGTATCTGCCACCCCTCTCTGCCAATCCCTCTACTGGCTTCCCATTGCCCAACGGATAAAATTCAAAACACTAACAACGTATAAAGCCATTTATAACTCTGCCCCACATTACATCACTGATCTTGTCTCTAAATATCACCCAAACCGTACTCTCCGCTCCTCGCAAGACCTCCTACTCTCTAGCTCCCTTGTCTCCTCCTCCCATGCACGTCTCCAGGACTTCTCCAGAGCTTCCCCCATCCTCTGGAACTCTCTACCCCAATTTATCAGACTATCGCCTACTCTGTTCACTTTTAGGCGATCTCTGAAAACCTTTTTCTTCAGGTAAGCCTATCCTGCCCTCAGCTAATACTGGAATCTTCTACTCTTCGAACCAGTCCATCCCCTATAGTTACTACCTTTTGTACCACTAGCCCCTCCCTCCTAGATTGTAAACTCCAAGGAGCAGGGTCCTCAAATGCCTCTTGTATTGAACTGTATTGTTACTGTATTGTCTCCCGTTATATTGTAAAGCTCTGAGCAAACTGTTGGTGCTATATAAATCCTGTATAATAATAATATAATAATAATAGTAAAACACTATTTAGCTTCTTTGAGCAAAATGTTAGTGTGCATTGAGCCTAAATCAGTGTGTGTGTGTGTAGGCTTTTCCAAGCAGGTAGCTTGTTCAAGGCCCTGCCTCCAGGTTGACAACTGGCCCTTAGTTGTACTCCTGAGTTATAACTATATAATATAATGGATACTAGAAGTGGCCTTGTTTCCCTATTGACACTATCATGAAGCTGGTCCAGAGCAATGATGTTCAGCAGACCTTGGAGTGAGTACATGTAGGGCTGAAAGAAGCTGGAGAAGATAAAAAGAAAAAACAGAACTTCATGGAAAAAATATACATTTTTAAAAAATATGCTATACTTTAGCAAAATAAATGCCATCCAGTTAGAGTTAACATCGACTCCGTGCTTCATGCCAAATATGAGATTGGTTATGTAGGTGTCTTCTGCAGAGCTCTGTAAGAAGCTCCTTTTTTCCTACAAAGTAGCTTGTATGTTAAATGTAAGGATTCTTTAAGAAGTTTATATCTGTCATGTATGTGTTTATTTTGCTTCTGTCTGTTTACACCTTGATCCCCACCAGATCTTTTAACAGCCGCAGATCGTGAATTGGAACTTTTCATCTGTAAGTGTGATGACGGATACACTGAAACTGCAATGCATGCACACACATATCGTGTACACATGCTTTTGCTATCTCAGGAACCTGGTGGTCAAGGCTAGTCCACACCACAGGTCTAGGTTATACTTCTAAAGATAAATCCACCACTGTGTATTAATATTTTTTAAAAGGTGAAAAGTTAAGCTATTAGACTTTCTGTACATGCGGTTTCTTGGTTGCAGGGTGCCAAGGTCAACACAAACACAGAAGAGTTCATGTTTCTGTCTCGTC